CCCTGACCGGCGCTGCTTAGTCTCATCCAGTTCTGGGCGGACCCAGGCAGGAGTTTCCTCGAAGGATTAGACATCCTAGTTCTGCAACAGGCCGCCAGGTCGAGGGTACGCTAAGAAGAAGCTGAAAGCCACCCTACTGTCCCCCAGAGGCAGGAAGCAGAGGCAGAGGCAGAGGCAGGAAGGTCACCGAGAATTTGAGACCAGCCTGGGCTAAGAAGTGAGTTCAAGGCCAGCCTGAACTGCATTGTGAGTACCTGTCTCAAAAAAAAGTGTAGGCTGGAGTGTAGCGGGTTCCCTGGCATTGCCAAAAAATAAAAATAACTCCCAGGCATGGTGGCATACTTGTAATCCCAGAATTCAGGAGACTGAGGCAGGAGGATTACCACTAGTTCAAAGTTAGACTGTACTACATAATGAGATCCTGTCTCAAAAAAAAAAACAAAGAAAGAAAACAAAGGACCGTGGAGAAGAAAAAAGAGGAGGGCAAGGATGAAAAGAAAACCGAAAAGAAAATGAGACAATAAAGAAAAAGCAAGCAGACAAACAAAAAACTGCTGTGACATAGGGCTGCAGGATGCTAGGGCTCCTTTATTGAACCTTAAGAAACAAACACCTGACAAGTTGGGTGCTAGTATGCCACCCTAAACACCTTTTCCTGGTCAGGTATTAACATCAGCCTCACCCATACTATTTGAGCTTCATTTTTATCACCTGGCAGGAAGTTCAGGGTCAGAAGGGCCCTTGAGTCAGAATCACTGGGATGGTTAAACTGTCCCTCCCCACCTCTCTTCCAGACCAGCTGCTCTGGCAGGGCTATGTTCCTGACCATTCCAATCTACTGGAGGCCTTTGCACTGGGAGTCCTCCCTGCTCCGAATGCTCTTCCCCCAGATACCTCATGACCTGCGGCCTCCCCTCGGGTCTCAGAGGCTGCTTTCTCCCTGAAGTTCTCTCTGACCCTTTGTAAAAGCCAACCCCCATCTTCCACAGTCCCTACCTCTTTACTTCATATTTTTCTATAGCATTTATTGCCTTCTAATATATCATGTAATTTAATTTACTTATTGAATTTGCTTTTTTCTTTGCTTTACCTCCAGAGTTTAGAACAGTTCTTGGCATGTAGTAAGCACTCAATAAATATTTTATTTTATTTTTTTGGCAATACTGGCGATTGAACCCAAGGTACTACGGTACCAGTGCACACACACACACACACACACACACACAACCCTGCTGGGCTTGAACTTGCAATCCTCCTTCCTCAGCCTCCCAGAGTGCTAAGACTAGTGGTATGTGCCACTGCTCCTGGAAAAATTTATTTTCAACTGACACGTAAAAACAAAAATTATATCCAGTTGAGACCCTTTCTCAAAAAGGGAAAATAAGGGCTGAGGATGTAGCTCAGTGCAGAGGTCCTAGGTTCAATACATAGCATCACACACACACACACATACATACATATGCATGTGCATACAAATTATACATCTTAGTGGGCTGCCATGTGATGCTTTGATACTTGCATACATTGTACACTGTTTAAATCAAGCTAGACTATCTATTTCTCACACATTTACTATTTCCATATAGTGAAATCTTTCAAAATCCTCCCTGTTAGCTTTTTGAAATGTGTGGTACATTATTGTTATCTATAGTCACCTTAGTGGGCAACTGCAAACTAGAACTTCTTCTGCTCTCTAACTGCAACTTAGTAAGCACTGATCAATTTTCCCCCATCCTTCCCCCTAACCTCTCCTCCCTCCAGCCTTTGGTAACCACCATTCTACTCTCACCTGTTATGAGATAGACGACTTCTTCTTCTTCTTCTTCTTCTTCTTCTTCTTCCTCCTC